AACGAGGGCAGAGCGGAGGTCGGCACGAAGGCACGAGACCTACGAAAGCTAGTCTTCACGCGGACAGCGACAGACTAGTCCCAATGACCAAGTTATACATTAGCACTCGAAGGGAAGTACAACGCTATGGTCACTCACCTAGTCCCAATGACCAAGAGGTCGAGATGGGGACTAGGGAGCGCCTAAGGGGGTCCTTATATACTAGAGGGGCTGCTTAGCAACCAAGGACAAGGCGCGAGAGCGAGGCAGTGAGGATGACAAAGAGAGAACAAAGGGCGAGAAAGAAAAGGCAAGGGCATGGCGATCACGGGAACGTAGCATGCGGCTGTGGGAACGTATCTACAGTGTCCAAACTGGGATGAGCTAGGAAAGGAAATGGTCCGAAAATGGAAGGTGGGCATCAAAGGGAAGGGAATGGGCGGCAAAAGGGGGCGTCTGTCCAATGTCCGTGACAGATTGACCGCGACCGTGTTGTCCAGAAGAAATCACATTGAATGGCAGGGGCAACAACTAATGGAAGGGATGAGCTCTCAATATTGAATTATGTATGAGCAGAAAAGGAGCTCTCTAGACGAACACAGTATTTTCTCGCCTGCAGCTATCAGCTTATAGTCACAAATTCCTGTGGTGCCAAGCAGATTGCCCTGTCACAGGCGCAAAACCCAATGCAAAGCTATCCCTTGGGGGCAATTCACTCACGAATTCTATCCTCAACACATCTACTGCAATCCATGTCAAAGTGAGGGATTCTACTACCAGTTCTATAGCTTGCAAGGCGACCGGACTGCTCATCACAGCGCTTAATCATGGAGCCTGGACATGTAAGCGCGCAAGCTATCTCATCTACGCGGGCTCGAGAATTTGAAATAGGGGGGAGGTAGGACCTCTCTATCAAACTGCCCCAGACGTCTGGGTGACCGCGGTGGTGGGGTGCGGGTGTAACACCCATACGTCTGGGTGACCGCGGTGGTGGGGTGCGGGTGTAACACCCATACGTCTGGGTACGAGACCACGACCGACAAGAATTGAGCACCCCTATCTGTGTCCTGTCGGCTACGGGACGTGACGAACAAGTCATAGACGCCCGGCGGTCTGGGGAACGTAAGCTACGAGCTTCGGGGACTACGAGGATCAGCCAATTCTCTGCGGTACTGTTGAAGAAGTTCGTGTAGACATATCCAAATATACGCAGCCATGAACCTCGGGGGAGAGCCGGCAAGAGAGATATATGAGGGCGGGCAAGCGAACATTACAACCGGCAGGAGACAGAAAGTACTGTATGTACGCGCATACGGTCTCCAGCGTGTGCAGGTACCGTACTAGAATACAGTAACAGTAGGAGGGTCCTTGGGGAACGTCGGGTACCGTAGCAGAGAAGCGGCGGAGAGACTAGAGGCAACGAGTAGGCACAATATAGCATTTTACAGGATGGCATAGAACTCGAAGAACGGGAGTCGGGAGAGAGGGAGACAGCACCGGTGGACAAAACGGGAGGGAAAATAAACACCTAAAACATACAGCTTGTTGATACAACTGGCGCGGTAGTTGCGACCACGCCATGAATGTGAATGGGAGACTGGTAGCATCCACGATGGACGCTCGAACTATACACCTCAGGCCTGAGGCTGAGGCGCAAACTGGGGCGGCGGCGGCTGGTTCGCCGGCGTGCGTGGCTGTAGCAAACCCTTCAATACATACAGTCTGATCGCTGAAACGACCCAAATGAGTCGGACGGTACACTCACCCCGTTCTGCGGCCACCCTTGAATCTGCATCGCCGTGTTCGCCGTCGGGCTGATCGTCATGTCCTTCTCTTCCAGCATATACTGGTCCTGGTTCGACTGGAACCCAAACGCGTTGACGTTCTGCACCTGGCCGTTCCCGCCCACTGGCCCATTTTCCGGTCCGTAGATCGGGTAGAAGTAGTACTGTGGAACCTCGGGCATCTTGGGCGTGACGCCATTCCCGTCGCCGTTGCGGGAGCCCGGACTCCCCTTGATTTGAACCGGCGCGTGGGGTCCAAACGAGCTCTGCATAGGGGGGTACTGCGCCGGGCCCATCTTCGGCGTTGTCGGGGACTGACCTGAGGTATGCTGGTTGTGCCCTGGCTTCGGGGACGTGAGGATATGCTCGCCGTCCCAGTCCTGTTCCGACAGGAGCATGGGCGCGCCGCTCGGCGCAACCTGGTGCAAATTGACGTCAAGAACCTTCTCAGCAAGTTTGGCGATAAGTGTCACGGACGTTGGACAGACGCCCCTTTTTGCCGCCCATTCCCCTCCCTTTGACGCCCACCTTCCATTCGCGGACCATCTCCTTTTCTAGCCCATCCCAATTTGGACACTGTAGATACGTTCCCACGGCCGCATGCTACGTTCCCGTGATCGCCATGCCCTTGCCTTTTCTTTCTCGCCCTTTGTTCTCTCTTTGTCATCTTCACTGCCTCGCTCTCGCGCCTTGTCCTTGGTTGCTAAGCAGCCCCTCTAGTATATAAGAACCCCCTTAGGCGCTCCCTAGTCCCCATCTCGACCTCTTGGTCATTGGGACTAGGTGAGTGACCATAGCGTTGTACTTCCCTTCGAGTGCTAATGTATAACTTGGTCATTGGGACTAGTCTGTCGCTGTCTGCGTGAAGACTAGCTTTCGTAGGTCTCGTGCCTTCGTGCCGACCTCCGCTCTGCCCTCGTCGAGTTTTCTGTCACGTTTATCCCTCTCCCTCTCTT